CCGGAGACGCTTTCCAGGCGGAGTTTGATCCTGACATTTTTTGCCAGTTGGGGGAATGCACTCGGGAAAAAGAAAAAAAAAAAAAGAAGAAGAGAAATGGAAAGTGTGTCACACCATCACACAGCTCTCCCCTCGCCGTGTGCTGGGAGAAACGGCTGTACACAGGCAGCTCCGTCCATAATTTACAGCTGCTATAATAGAGATGACATATTGAAAGCTATCTTCTATAATTACACTGAAATACATTTTTTGCTGTGGGCAAAAGTACTGTAAGGGTCCCAGGCCTCCCGGAGCAGCTGGGAACCGCTTCCTGAGTTCACAGATGTCTTCTGGATTCACCCCAAACTGGGGTGAGGTCTGGCTGCTCAGGAGATGCCCCCAGCCCCACGGAGCGCTGGCTGGCACCCTGCCCCTGAAGACCGTTTTGGGCCATTTCCTCTCTTTTTCTCGCGCTCATCTGAGGACTCCTGGTGAAGCTACGAGGTTTCTGAGCAGGTTAACAAGGCCATCGCTTATAACCTGACATTATTAGGAATGTCTCGGGCACCAAGAGGAGGCCTGAAAAATAGGACTGGAAAAGGGATCAAGTAGCTCAGACGCTATAAATAAATAAGAGCAAACAAGACAAAGCATCAGAGTCTTCTGAGCTGACTTCCACTGTGCTGCTCTGAAGTGGCTCTGCAGAGGGGAGGTGCTGCTGGAGGGAAATTCAGACCAGCCTCGCTGAGGAGCTGTGACCAAACGAAGCAATTAAGTAAATCCAGGGAAAGATTTTTGCTTCTTGAAAGCAAGAAACTCACTTGAGCTTTGAAACATCCAATTTTTGATACTGTGTTTGTGGGGAAATATTTCTCATAGAAAAGACATATCTGGAATGATTTTTAATGCAACAATTGCCATTTTTATTGTATTTTCAAATGGAATTCCCCAGGTTTGCAAACAAGGGGGCATGTGGCAAGCTGTGTGCCTGAGATGTTCTTTCAGTGCCAAATACTTGCATTCAGCTGCACCTTCGGGACACTCAGCGCCGCTCACTTGTCTCCGGGAGGGAGTTGCTGTGTTTCAGTGCCTACGTTACCTCCGTGCATTGTTTACTGGGGGAGTCAAAGCTCAGAATGTCTTGAGAAAGTCATGGAGCAGCAGCTGGTGGGAGGGCAGCGGTGTGCTGGTGTGGGGAGAAAGTGTGCTGGGGTGGAGCGGTGGTGTGCTGGGGTGGAGCGATGGTGTGCTGGTGTGGAGTGATGGTGTGCTGGTGTGGAGCAGTGGTGTGCTGGTGTGGAGCGATGGTGTGCTGGTGTGGAGCAAGGAGCAGTGGTGTGCTGGCGGTGGTGTGCTGGGGTGGAGCGATGGTGTGCTGGTGTGGAGTGATGGTGTGCTGGTGTGGAGCAGTGGTGTGCTGGTGTGGAGCGATGGTGTGCTGGTGTGGAGGGATGGTGTGCTGGGGTGGAGCAATGGTGTGCTGGTGTGCAGTGGTGGTGTGCTGGTGTGGAGCGATGGTGTGCTGGGGTGGAGCGATGGTGTGCTGGGGTGCGGTGATGGTGTGCTGGGGTGGAGCGATGGTGTGCTGGTGTGGAGTGATGGTGTGCTGGGGTGGAGCGACGGTGTGCTGGTGTGGAGCGATGGCGTGCTGGGATGGAGCGATGGTGTGCTGGTGTGCGGTGATGGTGTGCTGGTGTGGAGCGATGGTGTGGTGGGTTGGAGTGGTGGTGTGCTGGGGTGGAGCAACGGTGTGCTGGTGTGGAGCGATGGTGTGCTGGTGTGCAGTGGTGGTGTGCTGGGGTGGAGTGATGGTGTGCTGATGTGGAATGATGGAGAGCTGGGAGCGATGGAGAGCTGGCGCAGCCTCCAGCACGGTGACCTCGGTGTGTTCGGCAGTGGCAGGCAAGGGGCGTCTGTGCCAAGGCTCACCGAGCCTCGCCAGAGCGCTGCCTCCAAACGGGTGCTGCAACGATGTAAATTAGCCTGTAATTTACTTTCAGTAGTGTAAAGAAAAAAAAATCACTTTGCCTGAAGTGTATGCATCTTTCTTAAGGGTGTACCCAGATTTTAATTATCTAAATGTAAATACTTAACGAATTTTACTTAGAGTAATGAGCTAAAGTGCACACTACATAAATGAGATGTTCTAATTAATCATGTATGAACTACGGGTTTAAAGAAAAGCTATGTGAATTCTGCAAATGTTGGGCTATTGCCAAATTGCTAATCAGCATTTGCATTCATAGATGGCTTCACTTAATAAGTTGCGAGACGTTCAGCAAATGTTATAGGAAATTATGAGTTTTTAGATGCATAAACTTTTCACTTT